CACAGTAGCGTCAGTCTACTGCTGATATCAGCAGATGCAAACTATGCAATAACACTATACATTTTTGTAGCCACTAAATTTAAGATTATAAAGGCTATTGCCAGTTTTTGAACACTGCGACCCAGTGATGTCACTGTCTGCGAATGGCAGGAAAACCTGGATCTCCATCTGTCCTCCATGTGTCTTTGCTATTCCAACCATACTTAAGCTGTTTTATTAAACCACACTCACTGTGAAGGACAGAAGAATAAACATGAAGAAGGAACAATTCTTAGACAGTGAAGTGACGACAGTCGATGTGTTGACATGCCACACATTTGAAAGGTCCAGCGACACACAGCACAAAGCTCCAGCAGAGCAGCAAACAGGCTTGTTTTAGAGCTAATGCACCATGTCATGCTGAAGTATTTTACTAATTAAAACTAAAGAGAACCTTCTCCTCATAAAAACGACAAAGCAAATATAGCTCAACTTCACTTTACAAGTATGCACATCAAATAACGGTGACCAAATGAAACAACCCAACGAAAAGATTATTTGAAAATCAATTTATCATAATAATGGGCTGGAAATGACAGAGGGAGAGTAAAAAAAAAAAAAAACTTGCAAAACTCTGGTGCTGATCTTTGACTGACCGGTGGTGGGAAGGGAGGAGAGGGACAGGATCCGATTCTGTCCTTTGAACTCACGCACACACAGTGATAACAACTTGGCGATTCATAAAATACATCTACTCTATTTAAAAATGTTTTTGTCTGGAACGGGAACTGGAAGTGATAACTTCAACACGACAAACACAAGAGCACTAGTTTCGAAGGACAAGCATAAATGTAACCTCCAATGCATTTTCTTTTCCACTTTTGAAATGAGAAAAATCCAGCACTGTGCACAATCTGCACCATAAACCTACATTTATTTTTGTCCTTTAGCTGGAAATCATCAACTTTTTGAACAAAGTTGGTAAAATTAATACATTTCGAGCCAGTTAGCTCCAAATGGCAGCAAGACATTTGTCCACCCTCACCAAGAGGCAGAGCTGTGCTGAAGGAAATAACCCAAACGACACACAAACCTAAGGCTGGACAAAAACTTATAGCTAATAAAGAAGGGAACAGGAGAATTTGCAGCCAAGTCTGGTTTTTAACCCATTTACTGCAAAAATAGAGAAGCCGGTGAAATGGTGTTCTATGGCGCCAATACAAAGCCACAGAAAGATGACTCTTCTACCAATGTGAAACAGGAGGGGAAGATACACCTGGCTGTTTGATGATCCCTAATCATATCAATGCATATGTCAAATGGTATGCTATGGTGTATTCAAAACACAAATGTGATTAGTTGTACTTCTGTAATCTAGGCTACCTGAGAGGTGCAACTACTGATCCAGGTGTTTTCTGCTACTTGTGTTTATGGCTTGTGTGTGTGTGTGTGTGTGTGCGTCAGGACAGTCATGATAAATCAGGTAACATAGCTTCACCACTACCCAGAAGGTGTACAGCAGGTGCTTAAGATTATCTGACGTTACATTAAGTAGAAAAAAATGTAACTACTAGTTACTGCACAATGTGGACAACAACAACAACAACAGTCTAGTAGGTCATCATGCATTCAGGCTGCAGATTCAAGATGGATTTCTTTTTATGTCTCACGGAGCTCATTTATCTCAGCGTCACAATCAGTCTGACCAACCAGTGTGGAAACAAACAACAAGAGGTAGGAACCGGAAACGTGCACCAACAGCCCTGATGTAATAAAACACAGCAGTTAACCAAGGAGCCACAGCTGAATAATTCTTATCAGTATATGCGACATCAGGCATGCACTTACCCAAACACTGGGTGCCTGAGCAACATTACTCCTGGGATATATCAAGAATATTTAGAGAGGAGAACATTTTGAAAGTAAAGTTATGGACAAACTGGCATGAGTGTATATGAAATCTAACAAGTGGAAAAATCCAAAAACAAATGTAATAAATATTATCTAAAAATTATTTGGTACACCACCTCAAAGAAACCGTTAAAAATATACAATTTTTGTGCCTGGCTGCTGTAACAAGGTGTGTTTTCCTAGACCAGATCCACAAGATTTTAACATGTTTTTTTTTTTTTTATAAAATTTAAATTTGAAATGACTACAAAGATTTCTGGTGTGTGTTGTTGCTGTTGTGTGTCTGTCTGTGTAGGTTAGCTTCACACTCACAATCACTACTCCAGGTATCCATAGACTTCTCTCCAGAGAGGATGGCTTGTTCTTTCTCAGCACTGCCCCCCAAAGTTCAAGCCCCCTCCCCTGCTACTCCTGCTGACCTCCCTTACATTTCACTCGACTTGATATTTTGATCGTCTCTGCCATCAAAAACACCTTCCACCTCCACGTTACAGCAGTCATTTCTGGCACATATTGATACACACCCATAGTGTACATATACACAACATGGTCAGGGGCAGTGCCACTGACACTACACAACAGAAAGGAGTGGAACCCTAGAAATTGTAGCTGCACGACTCCTCCGCCCCTGGTAGGTCCATCTCAACACCCGCCCCCACACACATCTCCAGTAGGGCTCTGTGTCAGATTACACTACATCACATCATTAGGCACACTTATTGCATAAACAATGGGTTATAAACTATGGCTGCAATAAATGAAAGCCCCCCCCCCCCCATCCCACAAACACACACACACAGCAGCAGCAGCAACAGATCAGCTGACTTGAACATAGACTACTCTCCGAATTTGAGGAGACTACATTCACATTAAAAGGAAAACATTAAACTGGCAGGAAACTGGAGCAGGTTGTTAAGTAGTTTATGGAGGGAAATTCCTTACAATTATTTTGCTCATTTATTTTGTCTTAAAGCACACCTTGTCAAAAACACCGCCTGTTTGCTCAAATTCATTCATTAATAAATATTCCAACACGGTTGTTTGACAGCTGGGATGTTTTAGACATTTGACTAAATAACTCGGTACATTTGTGTTCACTCAAACATCACACAGTCGCCTGTGGACACAGTAGTGGCAGCAGATGTTTGACATAAATATTTAAACTCAACACTTTGGGGACATAACTTAGACGATTTTGCTTGGTATTGGTTTTGCATGGTATAAATGAAGTTCTACTCTAATCAGTTAAAAATGAAACATGGAAACAGTTTAACATGCGAGCTATGCTGTCGCGTTACTGCAAAGTGAGTCGTGCGCTGAGGACACGCGTAACAAACAAACAAAAAAAAACAGCAGCTGGTGCAATTGCTCCTGCTTCATGCAGAGCTTCGCCATTTTGCCCAGACTGCCTCGTGAGTAGTGACTCCCCTGCTCACGGAGGCACCACGTGTTGTGAAGTCATGGAAAAAATCGGCTCGTCCACGATGCCCCCCCCCCGTCTCACAAGTCACCTTTATCGGTACGGTTCCTCAAGGTTATCACAGAGAAGGTCTGAGAAAGTGTGCGCACATATAGCGCCATGAGAATAATGTAGAGACCCACTGGGAGACTGTAACAAAGTAGCCTGCTGCCATGTTGGTTCCCTAACGCATAGCGAGTGGAGCTCCTTCTGCAGTCTGACCAGTATTGTGAGATTCAGCTACAGAAAGACTATACGACGCTGTGTTTTTGCGCCACAGCAATTTTGTAACATTTCTGGTCTGTTGGCGTGGCGCAAAGCGGGTGCACAAAACCTGCCTTAGAGTCGCATATTTGGCCACATAAATACAGAATTATATGTATACTGGGTACACATGGTGTAAAAATGTATTTGAAGCATATAATGAGCCAATACGATTAAATCTATCGAATCTCTGCTCATGGGATAAGCCAATGAGCTCGTGCGTGGCCACACAACAACATGGAGGGCTGTGCTCACTGTTTCATGTATCTGTGCCAAGGGTTACAGTCACGAAAGGTGGTCTGTAGGAGAATCCTTAATACTGTAGCAGGTCAGGTCTCAGCACAGAGCAGCGGATCTATCAGTGGACACCATCTATCCCCCGCACCGACGAAATTTCATTTTAAAAACACAAGGGCAAGCTACAGGTTTTATTAAATGGCTTATATGAGGCACCAAAGTGCTAATATTTTTTTTCAAATTCACAGCTGGCTACAAAAAAGCTCAAAATAATAAGAAATGTTACAATTATCCATTAAAACTGAAAAAGCAGCATTTTACAAGAAATGAATGTGCTTGTGGCAAATTTATTCTGCGTTGAAATTATAGTTGACAGTTGTATTTTAGCTGAAAATATTTTACCAAGCCAAAAGTAAATGGGATAATAATTAGACTGCGTTTATTAAATTCGTAATACTGATATCAAATTGAAGTGCAGCCAGAGATGAGTAGCCTAATCTAAACACGGAGCACATTTTAAACCGATTTTTGTGAAGATGCCTACTTGAAATAACTTTACACCCAGACTAAGTATTATCGTCCCTGTGTATTCCAAACTGAGTTAAAAGAAATTGCCAAACGTATCTGTGAAACAAGTATAGGCTGTAGCACACAGCCTACATTTCAAAGCTGTGTTTCTTCCCAGTATATTATGAAACCATACTAAACAACAAGCTCCACAATGGGCTGGACCTGCAGCCTGCTACTACGGGAAGCATTTTATAGCCTAAAATATGACTGCAAAGAATATTATCTCTGTGCTTAATGGCTTCACTCAGCACCACTCAACCTACAGCTACACTGCACAGCATGGCAGGCAGCTAGCTGAGGTCGTCACAGTTCAGGCTTACAGCTATGGCCGACAAAAGTTGAGGCTCCAGACAAGTGACACCAACAAACACAGCCAGTGCCCCACGGCGTCGAAAGCACAATTCAACTGGCTTTTAACACATAGGAACCACAGACGTATCACTTATTGCAAATTAATGTGAAATCACAGTTCACTGTCATGCTCCACATAAAGACCTGGACAAGGTGGAGCAACACATGGAAGGGGTTGTAGAAACCAGAGGACGAGTGATACGGCCTTGTGCTCAGTGGTGTTTAGTACCTTTGCTTCTTGGGGACGGAGTGCTCGACCTCTATACGTTTCCCCTGAAGTTCCACCTTACCTGAAAAAAAGAAAATAAAGCGTGTTCATAAAACAGGCTACATGCTAACCATTAACTAGCTAATGCAGGCCTGGATATACTGTATTGAGGGTATAGTAACTAAAGTCGATGACCTCATGAATTAACTTTTTTTTTTTTAAACATGTGGCTTATTACAGCATTAAAAAGAAACCAAACCCTTGCTGTGGAGGAGCGGCCATGTTCAAGGGGGCCAAAACAGAACTTAAAAGTGAAAACTGCAGACACCCCACTTTGCGTCCCCGTTGAAGCAGCAGGGATAAAATGTAACAACTATTCGGATGTTTCTTTTACCATATGACTGTAATTGTGTTTGTTGAGAGACTTGAAGTCCACATGGCGTTTAAAAGGGCAGACTGGGAGTTTCGTGTGGTTTCATGTAGCCTAACTGACATGGCGACGGTACATATGAAAGAAACCATGAGGAATACTACGGTACAAAGCGTCGGCCATAGGGTGAATGAGTGAAGCTTTGGCAATAATGATGATACTCTCTGATAATTTCCGATTGGAGTTGGGGTGAGGCCTGCTATGGTAAGAACACAGGGTAAGATGTTTTTCTACCTTTGTCATAGTGAAGTGCAGGCTTAAAGGGGGAGGGGAGCCAGCAAGGCTTTATTCTATATCACAGGCGAAACTCAATCCGGCGCGAGGCGTACAACACATCTAACAGTCACTCACATGCACCTTGTAGGCAAAGTACAAGCCTGCGTTATTGCAGTGGTATAAATGATATCCTCGATTAAATAACACTGTTGTGAAGTAATGCCATACGTTAGTGCTTCAGGTTTTAGTAGCTAGCCTTACTACGCGTGTCCCTCCCCCTGCAAAAGTTGAATGGTTCCCCCGGGCGTGTATCTCTCACTACGGTGTGATTCGTTAAGTTAGCACCAAAACTATAATTGTGGAAATGTATCTTTCCGTCACATTAAAAGTCGAAGCCTCAGAGGTGGACGGGGAGTGAAAGTGGGGCACACGGGTGAAGATGTGTATGCAGCCGGAGCTATACAGCGGTGTCTATGGCTTCCCTTTAGAATGAATGAAACTAAAGGTGGAAAGGGCAGGAGTCCACCTTAACTCACCAGAAAACGTCTCGATTGCCTTCATGGCCCACTGATCGTCCGGGCAATCCACAAATGCATAGCCGTTTTTCATTAGAAACTGCCCGGCGTATGGGATCTTGTGTTCGTCAAAGGTTTTTCCCAAGTCCTCGGCAGTCACACTGTCGCCTAGATTCCCAATGTATAGTTTGTGCATGGTGGAAATTTGTCCAAGTAAAAAAAAAAAAAGCCCGGAAAAACAAAAATTTAAGAAGCAAAAAGTTTCCTGAATTTGCAAATAGCGCAACAAGATATTGTCACACTTGTCACACTAACTGAAAGTGGAAATCACGCGAAAGGGCAAAAATACCTAAAAGAAAATTTGAAAACAAAAACACAAAACGGGGTGAATATTAATTCTCGGCGGCAAACAAAAATATTGAAAAAGTGTAAAAACAGATGGTAACGGAGAATTTAGCCGTAAATCCAGTTGAGTACAGTGCAGCGGGAGAAGAAATGAAATCCCTTGATTTGCAGCCGGCCCCGGCAAAGGAATAAAGCGGCAGCCTACAGCCTCTCTATCGCACTGTGGAGGAGGTGGGTTGTAATGGGTGGATTTGATGATGGATCTGTGGTGGAAGAGTGGAAAAACTATGGCGGGATCAACACGGGAGAACTGTTTTCCTCTCTCTCCGCCTCTCTCTCTCTGGTTTTCTAGCCTTCCCTCTCTCAGCGATCCGCCCGCTGCCGGCAGAGGGTTGACACCGCCCCTCCACCGACTCCGATTCACGTTATATTTTCCGCCCCCCTTTTTTTTGGCTAAGAGGAAACCACGTGGTCTGTTTGGAGTATGTGAGAGAGGGGGAAGGGGAGGGGACACACCCCCGCTCTAAACCCGGCGTAGGCTATTTACCAAATGAGCACGTGCGCAAGTCTGCGTGTGCGCGCGCACGCACGGGCACATAAGTCGGGACCCCTAATTGTGATGTGCTCGTTCTGTACATGTGCGCGGTGCAGTTTGTCTGATGTATTGTACGACACATGCGCTTGCTAGACTTGTGTTTGTACAGAAGACCAGGTTACACGGAGTGATTTCCTTCACAACACACTAAGCTATAGCTAAGACGGAACTACTTTTAGGCGTTGAACTGGTTTTAGTGCTTTAGTTCCTTCGCCCTACACCCCCTGCGTTTAACATCTGAAGGCCCGGGTTACTATACATTTAAATGACAAGACACCGCCTGCTAATTCTGGAGTCTAGCACCCCCATCTCTGTGCTGCTCCCGCCCTCTGTTGATTCGGGTGCGTGGTAAAGAAGATAGTCGTCATTATGGTAGAGAAAGGGCCTATGGCGAGCCTCGGATTGTTTGGAGCGGTGGAACAAAGGGGCCAGGGCCCCATTTTGATTTATAAACGCAGACGCCAAGACTCGGGAGTAGGCAGATGCAACCAGTTAGAGTAGGACTGTGTTCAGGTTAGGCATCATAAGACACGTCAGGATAGCGTTGTGATGATTAGGCTCAGATAAGTGTAAGGGGAAACGCTTGTATACAAAGAGACTTCACACCTGCTGGAATTTACTCCCGAGTCTTGGGATCTAACACAAAAATGTTTTGTTTCAGGTCCAGCAAGTGTGCTGTTACTGGAGTCCGCGGGTATCCCCCACTCACTTACATTGTTACAGTGTTGACTACGCTCAGCGTCGTTTTAGATAAAAGAAATCAGACATGGCGTCGCTGCAGTGCAATTATACATGCTTTTGTGTTATGACTGGGTGGGGGCATCTCTGTAGCTCAAAGTTGGCGTTTAACTGCTTTTAGGATATTAGATATTATCTGTGGCACCACATGTTACAATGAGGTGATACCCAGGGTTAAAACACAACTTCGCCTGTGTTCACACCATCCATGCAGCTGTGTTAGCCTCTGTACCACCAATTTGATTATATTTCTCTACGTGGGGCGCAGAGGTAACGACAGCTTGGCGCAGTCTCTGGGCTACAGCACCACACACGCCGAGCGCCTCCCTACGTGGATGGAGGCTTCTCAAAATGGAGGCAGTGATCGACGCACGGGCCTGCTTCTACCCCAAACAATACACCGAGACTGACTGTGGTTACAGAATTTGGTTTAGGCGAGAGGCTTGTCAGACTCTGTGGCCACAAAACGCCGTCAACGTGGCACTCTCACGCGCGCGCTTGGTTAGAAAATGACTTCTGTGTTTACAAAATGGATCCAAACCTTCAGAGTGGTCCTGCAGTAACTGTTGCTTCAACGCGTGCCTGTATACAAGAACTTTATTGTATAAAAACGTATTTTTAATAATTTAGGTTTGTGATTAATTAGGTTTAAATCCATATGCTTATCCTGAAACTATATCTCTTTAGGACACAATGGAATAAAATCAACCAAGAAATATTTTAGACCACATTAGGCTATTCTCAAAATATTTGTAATTATATGCAACATTAAACCATACACATGACAAATCTTAGCAAAGGCAATTATTTTATTAAACATTTAGTGTATGAAGTACAACAGTAAGAACACAGGACACTTTCAAGAAGTTCAAAATGGTTAAGCCATAGAATATACATTTCCTGGTGTGCTCTGAAGCTGCTCCACATTCAGTTTACCATTTCCTTCCTACTTCTTTTTTGACCACATGGAAGTGAAGCTTTTCCATGCATTTTCCCCTTGTCCTGAACTCTTGTCCCCATCCCCTCCCCCCCTCTCTCTCACACACACACACACACAGGGAGCTGATGAGGTCACAGGCTAAGGTTAAAATGCAACATCTTAGGCTTTAGAAAGAACATAGTGCGAGTTACCTGGTTCAGAGAAGATTTCATTAGTGAAGTTTTGACAGAGTACTCTTAAACTCTGTACTCTTAAAAACAGCAATTCATTGTTTAATATAAGGCATGAATATATTCAGTTTTTTATATCCTATGAAAATTTGTTAAATTATGTTGAAATGACTTTTTTCATATATATTTGTTTGTTTTGGTCAACATTTTGTGTATGTACATTATGAGTAATGAACAAGTGGACATTATTCAAATTTCTCCCTTGACACACAAGTCAAACTGATCCGATCAGCCTTTCAGTGATGTTTTCTTCCTTTTGGATAATATCCAGCACAGACCTCTAAGAAGTTTGAATGTGTGCTAGAATCCACAGACTGCTGCTGTCCTTGGACATCACTTTATCAAGGCTGGTAACACTTGATGAATAATATGTCATAAGACAAGCATATGACACTCTTCTTTTCATTCTGATCTCAGGAACTATGCTTGTAACAGACGCCAGTGGAGAACAAAAAATGAAGACCACTGATGGACTGACTTTTACTCAGTCTATCCCAAAATAACACTTCTTTAAGTTTCATAGTTTTCCCCTTACCTCACCATATATCCAGGGGCGGATCTAAAAAATTTTGGACTGGGTGGCCAGGCTGAGGCACAGCCTCAGAGAGAGGTGGCATATTTAAAATACATGTAAAATTAAAACCCTAGTTCTATGAAATAATAAACAATACATTAGGAATAATTGGTGTGTGTGTAAAACAGACACACATAGTGCTTTCTTTAGCTAACTATGTCCCCCCACCCCCTTGATTCTGCCAATGCTTATATCCCCCTCCTCTAGTGGTACAAGGGAATTGTCTGTTTTATACGATCCTGTAAAGTTATAGTGAAAACCTGACATCTCCAAAATACCAGTCGTTTAATATCTGCCTGTCTGTTGGCGTGGTTTTACATAAGGCTCAGCTCTTTTAGATGCAAATCTAAAAAGCAACAAGTGCAGCTGCCCTAAAGATTTCCTGGCTAGAATAATCTGTTTTGCATATAGCTTCATTAATGGGCACTGGTTGAGTAGTACGGAGTAGTGTGTTTACAAGCAGCCCGTGATATTGCACCTTTAATGGTGATGTTTTAATGTAAAAATAGCAATATGAGAAAAGTTCTGCAGTGAAAAGGTCACTTAAACGAACATATACAAGTATTCTTAACATATATAAGTATTATCAGCAAAATGTATGTGAAGTTCAAAAGTAAAAGTACTTGTGATGCAGAACAATGGCCCCTGTGAGTGTTACTCTACTGTATATTGATGCCGTTTTGTCACTGATCCATTAATGTGTGTGTGTGTAGCATTTTAGTTATAGCTGGCTGAGGGGGAGTTAATTTTTAGGGCTGCAACTAAAGATTATTGCCATAATAAAGTATTTCTATGTATAATTTATTCTCTAAATAATCAGAAAACAGTGAGAAACATTCTTCGCAATTTCTTAGAGCCCAAAACGATGTCACCAGTTTTTGTCCGATTAACAGTCAAAAATCACATTCAGTTTATTATATATAGTTAGTATATCCTTATATAAAACTGAGTCATTATTATTACACTTGTTTTTACTTCTGTAAAATAACAAGTAACAGTAAGCAAGTTACTTCTTTACAAGTTGTTTTTTTAGTTCAGGCTAGAGAAATATAGTTAATCATTCTTGTGAATAGCAGAAGTGGTCATGTTTATCTTTTCTACTTCACCTTTTTGTCCCCCTTCCTCCTCACTAGTATTTACTGCATTTTTTTGCAATATCATATTTTATCATTTTGTTGTCTCTTTTGAATGTTATGTTGAGGTAGCAATGACTTTGTATGGCTGGTAGAAAAAATGATCACCTTCAAACTAGACATGAAAATACTCACTTTTTTGTACTTAAGTAGCAGCACTACAATCTGAAAATACTCTGTTACAAGTAAAAGTCCTGCATTCAGAATGTTACTTATTTTATCAAAGTGGGGCAGCTGTGGTAGAGCAGGTTGGCCTCTGCTCACATGGTTGGTGCTTCAACTTCTGGTCTCCCCAGTCCACATATCAAAATGTCCTTGGGCAAGACACTGAACCCCAATTTGCTCCCGGTGGCCAGACCAGTTTCTTGCATGGCAGCTCCACCACCATCGGTGGATGAGTGTGTGTGTATGAGTGAGTGTGTGTGTGTGTGTGTGTGTGTGTGTGTGTGTGTGTGTGTGTGTGTGTGTGTGTGTGTGAGTGAATGGGTAAGTCTGTAAAGTAATTGCAGTCCATTTACAATTTAAAACAAAAGTATTCACATCAAAACATACATTAAGTACTGAAAATAAAACTACTGGCTATTTTGGAATAATGTATATTACTTGATTATAATTATTGATGCATTAATAGCTTTAATGTTCCCTCTAAACATGGCTCTAATTTTGGGTCATCACATTCTCAGAAGGTCAGAGATATACATGTACACACACTTTGGTAATATTTGGTGGCATTGCCTTTACATTGGTGTAGCCAGTTCCAATTTCATCATATCTGGCCCATTTGAAAACTCTAGTCTTGCATTTGGAAGCAGCGGTTTCCTCCTTGGGGGAACAGCCTTTCAGGTTCTGAAGATTCAGCACTCTCTGTAGGCATAGATTCTTTTGTACCACTTACCGCCATCACCTTTACCGGTTTCTTGACTGTTGCCCTGGGATACTTTTAAAGCTTTGCACCAAAGTACACGTCTGCTTTCTGAGCGATGCAGTGGCAGTGTGGTATCATTTATACAGTGGGTACGGAAAGTATTCAGACCCCCTTAAATTTT